ACTCTAAATTTATCTAAATAGTATATGAAAGCTCAAAACCAGTAGAAAAATACTTCTTTGACCTTAATCATAGAGGGTCAGTATTCGATCCTAGTTTTGGAGTATTGTTTATCAGCTTGTTATATTCGAGGCACGTGCTTTAATGTGTTTGTTGTCCTGTTGTACCAATTTAGAAAATAAACAATATCAACTGTTTTGGTGCACGTGATATCGATCTTTTAGAAGAGATAAACTGAAACGCCCATTTTTTACAAAAAATCCTCAAAAAAAAGTGGTAGACCAACAAGAGTATATGAGGTTCTTCTTGTAAGAGTTACAGTTGTATAGCCTAGTTTCTCAGTTTTTATTTAGTATTCCTGTCCAGAGACCCACAGTGACGTTGCTTCCAAAATATCCTTTTGGTTTGAATATCACAAGTATGAAAGAGTCCACTAAAAGCTTGACCTAAAGGCACAGCCTACTTGTTGTTTATATGTCCGCTTCTCAGTGTTTCATATATATAAAGTTTTATCGATAGCATGTTTGTATGATACTAGGAATATCTGGGTATTTACTTTGTTGCTTTTCTATATTATTTTTCTGTAGTTTAGTTTATTTTGCTGTTGACCAAGGGATCATCAGAAAGAGTTGAATTTGCTAATTGATCTGCTAAATTTTTTTTTGACAAAGTTATATTTTTAAATTATATCAAAATTACAACATTTTTATTCGGTCCAAAATATGTTTTTATCACTTTTTTTGATGTATTTATTCGTAAAATTTGATTTAAAATTAATATGTAAATGAAAAAACATTATCACAACAAAGTTTATATGTAATTCTATATATTTTTGCTATAATTTTATATATAAAAAATACTGTATATATAAAATATATGACAAATCAGTTGACTGATATAAATTACATTCAATCATAATATAACCTAGTCTAAAATATTTTTTATATCTTTAGAATCATCTTCATAATGAAGTAGTCAGGTTGAGAAAAAATATTTACTATAGTTTATATCAAGAGAGTACTATATGTACTTAATATATAGTATAGAAAAAAGAAAAAAGCATATTCATTTTTTTTAGTAAGTTATTGATTATTTATTTGATTTAGCTCTTCTGATTTATAGCATTTTAGGTATTAAATATATCCAATATCAATATTATCGATATTGAATATATTTAATGCTTGAAATGCTATAAATCAGAAGAGTTAAATCAGATAAATATAGTAATCAATAATTTACTAAAAAAAAAAGTGCTTTTTTTCCTCTCTCACACTCATATCGAGTTGAAGTTTTATATTTTTGTTTTTTAAATTACTATATTATAATCATCTATATTTGATATAATTTTGATAGCAAATCTTTATTACAATATCAAATCTTTACAATATTGAATCTTACAATATTGAATCTTCACAATATCAAATCTCTACAATCCCTAATTTTAATAATATCGAATCTCTATCTTCACAATAATCTTTACTATATCAAGAGGTTTTAAATATTAGGAAGTGATGTTTTGCATAGATGATTTCAAAAACAAATAAATAATAATCAAATATAATATTATTTGTACTAATATTCAGTATTTTACAATTTAGTTATGTATTATTTATTTTCTGTTTTATAGTTTTACTTCGCTACCTATATGTTTAATTTAGTTCTTTTGCATTACTTAGCCTTTATTTGTAATGATATTGTTAGTAATGCAAGATAATTAAATTAGATATAATATATATAGAAGACATGATGCATTAGATACAAAAAATTGAAATAATATAATAGATTAAGGGTAAATAGGCTAAAATTTATCTAAAAAATTAAGTAAAATAAATATAAATAAGATATACTTCAAGAATAAAGATAAGATAAAATAATAAGAAAATTATAAAAGCTGTCAGTTTTCTTTAATAAATTTCTGCAAAGTTCAGTTTAAAATATAAAATTTTAATTACTAAATGGTAATATAACAATAAAATAAGCATTAATTAAAATGCAATTTAGTAATAAACAATTTATCCTAATAATTATCTTATAACTTTTATATATTGTTTATTAAATAAGTATTTTTATAAAGAATATCTAAAAATATAATAAAAACAAATCAAAATAGAAGAAAATTCTATAGCAAAAAACTTAATAATAGAAAGCCTGATGATAAGAAACCCAATGATAGAAAATTTAATAATAGAAAGCTTAATAATAAAAAGTATGATGGAAGAGAACCCGACTAATGAAAGAAAGCTTGATAAAAGAAAACTAAATAGGTAAAGAAAATGAAATAGAAGAAAGTTCAGTTTTACAAGATACTCTAAGAAAACATAAAAGTAGAAAAAATGAATCACTTCAGCAACATGAAATTTATCTTGCATATAAATAAAAATGAAAATAGCAAAAAAGAGCAGTAAATATATTATATAAATTTGAAGCTAACTTTATAGAACTTGAAGCAAGTCTTATAGATAACAGTAACCAAGATTTCTGGTTAGAATTTGATGTATGTATAGATGAACTAAATATATAAAATGATTATTTACAATGTGAATTTAATATATCTCAAAATTATACACCACCTGCAATTCTTGACACATATGATAAAATTTTTTTGTGATGATTTCATAATAAAATAGAAAAGCTAAAACACATATTTTGTCTCATATACAAAGAATGTTTTCTATTATTAACTCCTATTATGAGAAAATGTTGTTATTGTTATTATGAGAAAACTTTGCCAAAAAAATTTTTATATAACAACAATATGGATCCAAAAGAAGTACTCGAAGAGCTTTAAGGACTTACAGAAATTAAAAAGATGTTGATTGTACAAATGTTTTCTGTTATGGTAGTTTAAAGACTTTGTGGAAGACAGTATAGATATAGAAGAAATATTATTAATTTCCCTCAAAATGTAGAAGAATTTACTAGTTATCTTCTTCAGTATCTATCTTCATTAAATATGCTTATTATACATCAGCAATCTGATAGAGATGCAATAGCCTTTAGAGATTTTAGAGTTTGTTGAGATAAAGTTATTTGTGCATTGCGTTAGTTAAAAGAAAACAATGATTATTATTCAGATATTATATAGATAATGAAATCTTTAATTTCTACTAGAGGATAGTTTTATTGATAATCAGCTTCAAATTAATAAATTAACAGATAATGAATTTAATAAAGAAAGTAACGAAAATATAATTATACATACCTTTCATACTCTTTTTGCCTTCAAATAGACAGAAAGTTATAGCTATAAATAATACAATTAATAGATTATTAAGTAAGGGCAGTATTATTTATCACCTGATTATTTTTTATCAGAGGCTTACCCTCTTCCCCTTCTTAATATAAAAAAAATCAGGTTCTTATATATAATTTTAACTTTTTTTACCCTCTCCTTCCCTAAAAAATTACCTGATTTTTGTCACATCCCTAATAATAATACTATTAAGTGGCCAAGAATTAATAACAATCCTATTAATAAAATTTAAATATCTGGATATATTGCATGCATATTTTCAACTCTTTATTCAACTGGGTGTGCTGACCTTTGTTTAGAATATATTAAAAATATAAAACTAGCTGAATACTTTAAATATTATTGCTATATAATAATGGAAGGTTTGCTTGTTATACATATTGGTAGTATTTTACACTTAATTTACAGATAAGATGGCAAGCACTACAGAAAGAAAGAGTATATGTTAAACAGAATTTTAACGAAAACTAACTTACAGTCGCAGAAATATAGAAAATAATTACTGATAATAATATATAGCAGATCAGATTATAAGATTTGGTCTGGGTATGCATGGATCAAAACAGTTTTAGAATGTAAGACATCACAAGTTGTCAGACATGATTAAACAGTTAAAATTCACAAGATATAATATTTTTTATATTTAGTGCTGCTAATCTACACTAGCTAGAACTTTATATACTTATATTGTTTAACAAAAATTATCATCAAAACATTATTAACAATCCTCACTTTGCTACTTGGTTCTTTAATAAATAGTTCGAATATTTTTTTAATAATGTGTTAATTAAAAAATAAATTTTGAAAAATTGGTAGTATAGATTTGAATAGCAATATTGTGGTAGTATTTATATACATGGAATTGGAAAGATAAGTAATAGTCTTAAAATTAAGTAAAACAATTAAAAAATAATAATATGTCATTAAGAGAGATAATAAAATATATTAACTCTCTGGTTACTATAATTAATTTGGAACCTGATGCCCCTATCCCTGATCGTTATCTATGCCAAAAACATTATAAAGAACTAAATGATGACTTATAAAATTATACTGAATTAGTTTATAAATTGTAGTGATATACATGATATAGTTCTTCATATTGCTTTTGTAATTGTAAAAAACAATTCTGCAAATTCAAATTTCCTAAGGAGAAAAATAATTATACTTTCTTGTGTGATAATAATTATGGTCATCTTAAACTTGTAATAGCAAGAAACGATCTGTATATTAATTCAACTTCAAGGATAGAGAGCAAAAATAAATCTTAAATCTATTCTTAGTATTCACGCAACTTTATAATATATTTTCAAATATGCAAATAAAGCAGAACTATGATTAGGGATTTTACACAAATATTAAATCAAATACTTAATAATAGTAACCCTACTAATAGATTACTTGTTCTAATTTAAAAATTATTGCTTTATAGTATTGCTAAACATGATATATTTGCTTAAGAAACTTGTTATTTACTTCTTGAAATTCCTTTTTATCATTCAAGCTGTATCTTTGTTTCATTAAATTTTAATAAAAAGATATCTTGTTGGTTTTGTAATACAGGTAGCAATGATGAAAATTATAATGAAGTTAAGAATGCTAGATAAACAAGTCGATCTACTTTAAAAATTTATTAGAACAGACCTTCTGAGTTTAAAAGTTTTTCATTATATAAGTTATACCTCACATATAAGCTTACTAAAAATCAATAGAAAATATATAATAAAAAAACATTATATAAGTTTGACCATGATCATCACCATTACAAGACAAACAAAAATAGAAGGAGTTCTGCCACATAAAGGTTCTTCTTTATGTTCTCTATTAAGATATTCAACTTTTAACTCAAGACAATACAATTTCATAATCAGTCTTATATAATTGCTATTTTAAAAAAATTAATAATGATCTAATAGATTTACTTGGCTTCACTATAGATAATGATGAAAGAAGAGAAATGACAAATGATAAAAGTCAAGAAGAATTTGAAAATGAAGAAAGGGATGAATACCGATTTGACTAGATGCTTTTAGCAGAAATAGGTTTTAATTTAGTATTTGATTGTTCTTCTGATTTTGAATATCATAATATCAATCGAAATTATAACTGAACTAATAATACTAGACAATATTATTCTAATATTGATCTCAGAGAAGCAAGCTTTTTCGTACAAAGAGTATCTAATTATAATGAATCGAATAATGATATAAAAGGAAATAAAATCTCTAATACTGAAATTATAGATTATAAGATTTTAAATGATAAACAAAAGACAATTTTTAGGCGAATAGAGTCATATTACTATAGAATTCTTATAGGTTGTCAAGTTGAACCACTTAAGATTATCATTATAGAAACTGCTAGTACAGGAAAATTATTGCTAATCAAAGCAATCAGGTGTTAACTTTTTGAAATAGCAAAAAACAAATCTAATTTGTCTATATTAATACTTGCTTCAAAACAGATATTGCAATCTTTAATATTAATGATGAGACAATTTATTCAGTTTTTTCTATTCTAATACCTATTGGTAATAATCTTGATATAACTGGTGAGCAATTTACTTTATAATTGATGAAAAGAATATAATCAGATGTTGAATGCTTGCTCTGATTAATTTGCGGTTACATTAAGCTTTTTCTAAATACAAAAATGAATCTTTTAGTAAAAGATTAATTATCTTGTTTAGTAATTTTGGACAACTTTCTTCCATGCTTAATCATCCTATATACACCACAAATATTTTAAGAAATATACTGTCTAATGATAGTATTGTAGCATATAAACAATTTCAGGTAATATATAAACTTAATATTATTTAGCATTAGTTTGGAGATTCTGAAGAACAAAAAGAATTTAGAAATATTCTCTTATAATTATATAATAGTAAATCTATGATTACAGACTGGAGAATATTTAGCATATATTTTGATAATAAACCAGAATATAATCGATTCTCAGATACTATGTTTATTATGACAAAGTAAACTAATATTAATTTAATAAATACTGATAAACTAAGATCATTAAATATTCCTGTTGCAAAAATTTTTGCAATATATCAGAGAGACAGTAAAAAAGCTAAAAATGCAGATTCAAACATAGCAAATAGTCTTGAGAGAGAATTATTGTTAGGCAGAAATATGTATATTATATTAATCACAAATCTGTAGACTGAAACCAGATTAGTTAATAGTTTAATAAGAACTATTCAAGACATTTTGTTTGAAGAAAATCAAAATTCACCTTTACTTCCCACAACAGTTTTTATTATATTTGAAAACTATATAAGACCTACTATAAGTACAGTAAATAGTATAAAAGTTGTTCCAATTGTACTAATTCAATACATGTGAGAAAGCAAATCAGGAACAACTTATTCATATCTGCAAGTTTCTATTCATTTCATATAGGCTATTACAGTATATAAAAACCAAGACCTTACACTACTAAAAGCTATAATAGATATTGACAGCAAAGAATTTGCTGCTAAGCTTTCTTTTGTAGTAGTATCTCGAATATGTTCCTTTAATAATATTGTTTTTAGACTATTTAATTTCAAAAAACTTCAACAAATTTTAAATTATAAAAGAATGCAAGAAAGAAAAGAAAAAGAAATATGATTAGTTTCTTTAATACCTAAAAGTTGAATATGTTAATTAAATAAAAATTACTATAATAATAATATAATAATTATTAATAAATAAACTCTTACTATTGTTATAGAATAAGTTTCTAAATATTTTATTATTAGTATTATTTAGTATTATTATTATTCTATTGTTGTATTATGAACAGAAAGAATGGTTACCATTTCTACTATTTTTACCATTTCTACCATTTCTACCATTTCTACTATTTCTACTATTTCTACTATTTTTACCATTTCTACTATTTCTACTATTTCTACCATTTCTACCATTTCTACCATTTCTACCGTTTCTACCATTTCTTATTATTTATATTAGTTTTATTAGTTTAGGAAAAAGATATATAAACCCTGGCTTTTCCTCTTTCTGCCAGATAAGACTCAAACACCCCCTCTAGATACAGACACCCTTTAGTTATAGGAATATTATATCTTGTAATTAAAGTTTTATATCATAAATAAAATATATCTTTCTTTAAACTATATACTTTCTACGAACTGCCCTTAGTAAAATTGTATTTCACTTCCACATCACTATAATCTCGCAACAGAGCTCTATATCTGTGTGCTTTGTTACTTGTGCTATATTAAGAAGGCTACAGTCCACTTGTAACAATTTGGTGCCTTTTGGTAGAAAGAAAAAATTTTGCCGATTTATAAGGGAAACCCTGCTTCTCTAAATTGAAAATTCTTGCTCTCTAAAGGAAACCCTCCCTCTTGGAAAGGACCCCTTGCTAGATTAACTTTTGAAAGGATATTTATTTACGACTCTTCCTCTCTCTCTTGCTATTACTATCCTAGTAATAGTTTCTTTTAAAAGTCCTGACAAATTGAAAGAAATTTGATCAGAAGGGCACACTTGAAGCTTCTGCTTTCGTAGCAACTATTGGAAGTCCTAACAAATTGAAAGAGATTTGTTCAGAAGGGTACACTTGAAGCCTCTGCTTTCATAGCAACCATAGAGCTAGCAGCTTACTGCGAACCTTAATCAAGGATTAAACGTGAATTATCCACGAGCCAAAGTATAGGTATAAGTAATTCCACCCAGGATTAGATTTTTAAATACAACTAAAACCAGACGACTCTTAAATATTACAACCCAAGGATTGCTCACAGCATTATATGCATCAAGCCTACCAATTGTATTTGGAACATATATGAAGACACGAACTAGCACACCAAGAAAATAGCCTTGCAAACGATACCTCCAAGTTCTTGCTTCTGATGAATCTTGTCGACAGTGTTTTACTGCTAATCAATATCATCGTGCTTTCTGTGGTTTTTGGCTATGGTATCAATGAGCCTTTGCTGTAATTTCCTATACTCAGATAATAGTCACAGCTCACTTTGAATTAAAAAGTTACCCTAACTATAGTTCTGCTCAAGTTTTAGTTAGAGACATTATTTTTAGTTGTCGATATAGAAAACCATTTGATAACCTTTGACAAATAGCCGCTACTCTCTTCGCTAATTATACTCAATTTTGACTTGCACCTTATTTACCCCCAAATTTCCCTGCCAACGATTTTGACCCTTATATTAAAAACCCTGATTATTCTCCCCAATTAAATCCTACTAACGATACTGAAGTCTTAGAAGATTTTAGCTCACCTGTAGCTTCAATATCTCAAAGTGAAGTTAATCCATCTGATTTTACAACTCTACCTAACCTACATTCTCCTAACCCTTTACAACCTAAGAAAATAGCAGATATCTCTACTTACTCTATCTCTGTTCTTCCTGACTACGACGAAAATACTATTCAAATTTAATTTCCTCCCAAATTAATACTCCTAATCCTCTTTTTGCTAATATCGATTTAGAATTTACTCATACTTCTCCTCGTACTGAAACTAATCCTCCTCGAGCCCAACTTCATCTGTTCACTCAACTTCTTAATTATATTATCCCTCTAATACACTCACTAATACTACTAACCCTTCTTTTGCCTCTGGAGCTTATCCACAAGCTGATTTAGATCTTAACACCACTCTATTAAATACTCCTCCTCAACTCTAACAACAACTCCCTACTGCGCCATTATTAATAGAACCTAATCAAGACCCTGACCAAGATCCTAACTTCATTGTTGAAATACCAGAAGAAGATAATAACCAAGCTTCTGACGCTGAGACCACTTCTACCATAACTGACGAAGAACCAAAACCAGAAGAAGATATGCCTAAAGCTACACTTAGAGCTGCTGCTAAAGCAATAAATAATATAGCAAATACCTTGGGAGTGGTGGTGAAAAGTCCCTTATCAAAATAGATTTCTACCGAGGTGACAGAACCCAAGACCCCATAACTTGGTTGGAAGAATTTGACTGTGCTGCCAAAGCCAACCACTGAAGCCCTGCTCGACAACTAGAATTAGCTGCTGCATATTTGAAAGACAATATCCAAGAATGGTTTACTAGTCTTGCTAATGCTCCCACTCACTACCATCATCCCGACATGGCCAAGATGTGGATGGTCACCATGTTTAAAGTTTTACCCATCTATTTAAAGCAAAGTTCAGTACAACTAGACAAAAAGCTATCTGGCAGAAACAGCTTTTTGAAATAAAGCAAGAAACAGATATAGTTGATACTTATATTAGCCGCTTTAAACAACTTCAACTTCGAGTGGATCTTGCTAATAGTATCCCTGGATCTATGATAGTCTAATTCTTTATCCAAAGCTTACGGCCAGAATATGCTATGAATATACAAGCTGCTGAACTTGCTGATCTAAACCATACTATACAAGAGGCACAAAAATGGGAAACCGAACAAGTTATGGCCTCTGAAAAATAATACAAATGGTAATAATAATGACCAAGTTATCACCCGCCTTACTGAACAAATTGCCAAGCTCAATATCAATCTTGCTGAAAAACAACCTACCACTCACGTCTATTATTCTGAGAGTAACAACTCCTCTTGTCGAGATAATAATAATAACAATAACAATAATTCTCAAGATAATATCTGCTACTACTGTAGCAACCGAAGACACTTCATTAGGAATTGCTGCATATGAAGAGAGGATAATAGAATAAGCTTACATGATTATCGATCCTTTAGCCGAGATAATAGATACTCATCCAGAAATAATCGATTCTATAACAGATCCAGATCTCATAATAGAGATAGATCCAGAAACAGAGATTATGATCAAAGAAACAGATCTAGAAGTAAAAGCCAATCTCGTGATAGATATCATTCTGACAACCGTTTCTCTTATGACCGGAACCATAGGTCTAGAAACCGATCTTCCACACCTTACTCTCGAAATATATATACCACAGATATAGCTAATGATTATATCTACAAACAATTTGAACAATTTTTAGTCAATAAATCTATTAGGACAGCCTTAGCTAGTTATCTTATAGAAGAATCTAGCACCTATAACCAGACACAGACACCAACTTACACTACTCCTGTTAAGTGTAATATTAAACTTAGAAACAAACCCTACCATGCTATCGTCGATAGTGGAGCTGCGATTAGTATAATCTCCCACAAAGTTGTCAAGGAACTTGGTTTGAAAATTGAAGCTCTCTCTACAAGCTTAATTGTATTAGCTACAAGACCCTCTACAAGACCTCTAGGAATTATCAAAAATCTTCCAGTAGAAATTGAAGGAGTTACTATTCCTCTTGATATAGAAGTTATGAACATTGCATCTTACTCCTTGCTCTTAGAAAATGACTAGTCACAGAAAGTTGAAGCCAGTTATAATTGAAAAAATAAGGCCTATACAATTAAGTAGAATAAAAAAAAGATACATGTTCCAACTACCTATGAACAACACCAACCTTTGCCTGCTCAACCAACAGTAACCAATGAAAGAGACCTAGTCCAATTTGAACAATAATATCTTGTTCCTAAAGAAGTCTATATGGTTGACCCTGTAGTAACTACCAATAAAAACCT